TCGGATTCTACGCGTCTTGAAACGTGAAACCTCAAATTTTGAGAGGGGGTTATGGTTTTGAATTTTTCGGTCGATCACAATGTTTCATTATTGAAAATAATAAACCAAAATAAATAAATAAAAATAATTTTAAAAAATCAGCATTTAAGATTTCAGATGAATTAAATCGATTAATGTTGGACCATTGATATCAAAAAATACATATTTATTGCTTCATGTCTCACCTTCAATTAATAATTCTCACGAGATCCAGTCTGTTTTTGTAATATTATTGTATATATCAAGCAGGTTAAACTAGGTGATGTAAAAATAATGGTATTAATAAAAATAAAAAATTTGCTCAATTTGTTTCGCTGAATTTGAACCATAAATTTATTTAGTTCAATAAAATACATATTATATTTTATTTTACGAATAAAAATAGTTATTTTATTATATCAATATGTAGCATTTTTTTTTTTTTTTTTTTTTATAAAGGTTGAATGTCTGGCTAGTGAGACAGCTTCACAGACAGCTACTAGAAGGCGCCTCAAGCCCTAGACTGTTTTATTGACCTAGCCAGTCCATTTCTATCTGGCCTCGTCCGCAACGAAAAATACTTGAAACATTTAATTAATATCTTGTCGATTGGACGTTCTGCGTCTTTTTTTAAAATAAAAATAAAAATAAATTTTACAAAAAATAAGAGTGAAGATACCATTTTTTTTTTTTTTTTTTTTTTATAAACAGATTGAGAGTTACAAAAAATAGCAAAAAGGTAACTTGAAGGATCAAAGCATTTATAACTAATTTATTCCTCATTAATAATTATTTTAATTCCATCCATGGAATCCATCAATCGATTGCATACAACATCGATGGACAGCTATTCATGCTGAATTTATATAAATACGGGGTTTCCCGTAAGCAGAGGGAAATATTTACTGGAGTAATGGCATACCTCAAGAGATAAAAAAAAAGTTCATATAAACAGTTTGCTCAATGTTCGACAGAAAAGTAGGAAATTTAAGTCTTGTGTTTTTTTTTTTAAGTGTCACATTTTTTGTTGAATGAGGAACGTTAAGTAAAAAACTACTTAATTTAAGTATTTAAAAATTATTTCACTGTAAACAAGAAGAAATTTACTTCGAACGAAAGTAGAGTTTAAGTACATTTTTCTTCCGTTCTTCATCCACACATATCATAATACTGACAATTAGCAGATTTGTTGTAAGGTAGAAAATGGCATGATAGGCATGACCAAGAATGGAACCCAGCAGCACCTCTTGCCTGTTGTCTGTTTGTCTGTTTACATCCTAAAATCAGGAAAGGAGATCTCTCATCCAGCTCCTCTTCAGTCACCTCCTGATGAGCATTTCAACCCTGACCATGTCGTTGATGAGTCCATTGTGGTGTAGTGTAGTTTAAGATGAAATCGGGAGTAGAGAGTACCTATGTGCTGGTCAAAGGTTGCCTTAGGTTAGTATGTAAAGTCTTGTTGTTGACATAGCAGAGGGCTGCAGTTATTAGTCTTAAAATTTTAGATTGGAAAGATTGTAGTTCTTGTAAGTGAATCTTTTTTGCTGAACCGTAAATCTGTGGTATGTCCAAATGGGTTTGAGCAGTTAAGTGTTAAAACAATTTAAAATAGACTTTTGAATGGTTAAACAAAGCTAAGTTCTGATTTAAAAAAAAAAAAAAAAAATTATTTACATTTTTTTTTTATCATATCCGACTATATTACAGATACCCCATTTTTTTTCTAAAACTTCCTTATTTAAAAAGCTTTAAGTCTATATCAATTAAGTTAAAGTTTATCAGGAAAAAAATTGAGATTCATCTCAAGTTGCGTGAAAAAATGATGAGATTTTGTATCGTGTGATTTGAAAGTACCGCTGTTTTATGGAAAAAATATTAGTTAAATATCAAAACCAACTTATTAATATATATATATATATATATATATATATATATATATATATATATATATATATATATATATATATATATATATATATATATATATATATATATATATTTACAACTTTTCTTTAATCAAACTTTGAGTATTAAATTTAAACATAATTATTTAATTGGGAATAAGGTCACTTATTAATTATTGAATTAACTACTAAATGTTCATTGCGGTATATCAAGCTACTCTTACATATATGTGCTGGTGGACGGTGCTGAGACTGTCGGTGTGTTCCTGGCCTGAGGTATCGGAGCTATATTTTAAAAGTGTGATACAATTTTGAAATAATTGTTATTAGAAACACATGGAAGCATAATTGTGTACCGATTGAGCTATTTGTTGTTCTAGCTTTGAAGAGGATCCCATTGTTTACTATAAATAAAAAAACCAGGATCGAAACGACAAATAAACACAGAAGCAATGAACATTGAGTAGTTTATTGAATAATTAATAAGAGCCCTTATTCCCAATTAAATAATCACGTTTTATTATACACAAGGAATAAATATATTTCTTGATATTAATAGGTTGATTTTCAACTGCGGACTCCTTGAGCAATTCGTATTAGGACAAGACAATGTTTAGTCGCTTTGTGTTTGCAAATATGAACGTCATAACCCCACTTGCCGGGTTTCTAAACCCAATTACAGATAAAGTAACACAGGACGAAATATTGAGAATTTTAAACAAATCGAAACGTGTGTACAAGCATGCGTTTTTGTATACGATGCAATATCAGAGTTCATATTTAAACATTAAGGGAATAATATCCGTTTCAAAGCTGTTCTATGCAGTCGCTTAGCGAGAGGCTTTGTTGAAAAACGTTTGAGGAAGTTTGCTGAGGATTGCATGGACTTTGTTGAAGTTTGTGCATTAGCTATGCACCCTGCACATCTTCATACAAAGTCCCTTCCTTGCAATTACACAGCCAACTTTCAAGTCAGCGCTTGGAAATTTCAAAACTTTATTCTTTTTCTCTCGGCTTTACTTGCCGCGAGTCTGCTCTGCATAATTTTTTTTTTGTTGGCTCGAGAAAATAATGGAGTATTTTTTTTCTTCAAAAGTTATGTTTTTAATATTTCTTTTTCTGCAACTTCCAACGTAAACGAAGGATATTTAAATGTTACGTATCGATCTTTTTTGCCCTGAATTACAAAAACTTTATCATTTTTTTTAAAGAAACTTTCAAATAACTACTATAAAATATAATGTTATAATCACTATAATATAGTGAAATATATAGAATTATAATATAATATAAAGCAAAATATATTATTATAATTTAATTTAATTAAAGTTATTAATATAAATAATAACTAATATGTAATTTTAATATTCAATTTTCTGTTATTCCTTAAAGTGGCTGAACGATATTTAAAATGTCGTGTTGTCGCTCAAAATTTCAAAATCCTACTCATTTTCTTAAGATCGAACGGAGTTTTCCTGAATGAATGTTCGTAGATACTGTATACGCCTTTATTTAATGAGTTATTTTGATTAATTTAAGTTACTTTTTTTTATATACATTTATTTAGTTTTAGTTTTATAATTTTCCTTTTGTTTTGTATAATTTCTTTTTTTTTATTGTACATAGAGTGTGAATGCGCTACTCTGTCACTACTACTAATGTCTTAGTTGTGACAAAATGTAATATTACTCAACACGGGCGGATCTACGGGGGGAGAGGGGCTCTCGGGCTGAAGCCTCCCCCCCCCAAAATGGTAAAATATAACCATGTTTTATCGAAAAAAATATTTAAAAGTATCTCTTAAAGTATTATTGTTCGTGTAATTACAATAAAGAGGGCTTTAGGAATCACTTAAACACCATTTCATATAGGTAGTTAGTTTCTTTCTTTTTTTCCAAAGTAATTATCGTTATTTTTATGGAAAAAACAACTTTCGGGCTGAAGCCCTCCCCCAAAAATAAATCATGGATCCGCTAGTGTTACTCAATAAAAAAATTAAAAAATCCGAGATAATGAAAGATTTTTTAAGAAACTTTCGAGTAAAATCATACTTATTCTGTTAAAATATTCATTGTCATATATTATATAATTTTAAATATTCTATGGGGTGTTAAACACTTTTTAAAAATTTTTTTCTTATTTTTACTGTAGACTCGTATTTTTAGTGGTCACTAAAGTTCTACTCCGTATATCCAAAAAATGTGTTTATCAGCAGCTTGTTCGATGATGAAATAAAATGATTTAATGTCGGTAATCTATAATCTATGCTCGAATTAATTTTTTTTACTTTCAAATTGTTTTTATTTTAAATTTCAAGTTTGAATAAAATGGCACAATGTTTTTTAATATTGATTAACGTGAAAATGACTCGATATTCCCACACATATTTATTAAATAGAATTTTTTTATTTCAACTTTTTAATTGTAAATGTTTAAAAAAAACTCACATGTTATATTATGTTATTGGATATTATAGATATCCAATACAGCTAAAAATTCCCTCACCGAATCTTCGGGTTCTCTAAACCGTTCGTTTTTATTATTATTTTTAAAAAGAATAAAAACCGTTTTAATAAATACATAAACTTTATAATAACAGTTATGTTTTTGTCTAGAAATTTATTCTTTACCAAAAAAATATATTTTAGTTGCAATGAAAAATGCATATTTGGAGTCATGTATGTTCAATAATATGTGTCGGTTTATTTTATTTGTTGTTCCTTGTTATATTTTTACAATAGATATATTATGATTTTTTACTTCATAAGTTTTTTCAAACAAATAAAATAAATAAGTAAATTATTCTTATCGTATTTACGTTCGTTGCCATTTTATTATGTCTTTATTGAAAAGATTTTAGGCCATTTATCACCAATAAAATACGTTTCTTATTACATTTCTTTATTTTCAAATATGTCTGTTTCTTTTTATAATATAATTATTTATATATATATATATATAAATAATTATATTATATATTAAATTTATATATATATATATATATATATATATATATATATATATATATATATATATATATATATATATATATTATAATTTATTTTTTATCTTTTCCAGTCGCTTAAATGACAGCGGTGCTCGAGTGAGGGATCTTTTACCAGTTTTTGATGCAGCCGGATTCGCCAAATTCCCACCGCCTCCAACGAAAACAGTCAAGCCAAGAATGTGAAATGAAGAAAAAATATATTATAAGTCGTGATGGAAAATAAAATACTAACAAATAACAACAATATTTATGACAATAACTGTATGTATTAAAAGTTTAAAAACAAAGCTGTATTGTATTCGCAATATGCTTGTGACCTAAATGGAGACAAATTTGAATTAATAATTTGAAGAAAAAAAAATTGTTAACATTTAGTTTATTAAGTCGTACAGTACTAATAATATTTTTACCGGTATGCATGTTTCATTAATGTACAATATATAACTGAAACATTTTCAGAATATGATGCATGCGATTTGTTCCTAAAACTTTGTTAATTTTATTAAATAAAAATTTAATTTTGTGATAATTTTTTTTCTCATACCTGAAAAAAAAATCATCTGATTTTTAGGACAAAAAGTTTAAGATCTTTAACAACTGAAAATTCAAAAATACGATTATTCATTAAAATTGTTTAATAAATAGGCTAAATTTTCTAGCGTTAAAAAATGACATCAAATTTCAAGTCGAAGTTCAGTATTAACTTTGCAGAAGCTTCTTAAAATAATATACTTGAACTAATCCGAATTTTTACCAGAAAACTAATTTTATTGTTAAATGATTTCAGTAATTACAAATTATCAGTGTGATTAATAATATGAAAATATTAAATATATATTTTACTACAATTTGAATTTTTTTTTTTTATTCTTCACAAAAAAATATATTTTTTTCAATTTGTAGCATTATTTATTACCGAATATATTTTTATATACCCTTAGCTTTAAGTCGATTTTTAAATTTATCAATTATAATTATTTACAAGACAAAGGATTTTTAAGTTTCTCAAAACTGTATTAACGCGTGATGTTATGTTTACCCATTTTATTTCTATAAACTTTATTTTTAATATCGAATAACTAATCGATTGGAAATATTTTTTTTTTTTTTTTTTATAAGAACGATATCTAAATTATAAAGTATGTAAATTTGTTATAAATTAAATGTACCTATCGACCCCACGAAAGACTGGAGTCTGGAAATAGAAACTGTGTAATCGGAAACAGGCGAAAGCGCTCGACATTTCCCGATGCTTTTCCGGAATTTTCCCTCTCTCTTCTCTCTATATGAATATATATATTTCTACTCAAAGTAGAATAGTATGTAAAAGTTGTTCAAGGCGCTACCGTATCTGAAATTTATATATTAATATTATTTGTTTTAATTATTATTATTATTTTCATGTTGTTATGTTACAAATAAATAATTACTATTAATCTATAAATGTGTCCCCAATCAGAAAAAATTAGGGAACACCTCTTCTAGACTAATGATTCCTGAGACTGAGTTTTAAAGATGATGCTGCTGTTAAAGGTATCATAAAAAAAGAAGTCTTAACTTTATAAAGTTTTTTTTGTAATTATTTACATAAGAACTGCAGGGGTTACGCATGGTTCTCAATCATTTCGATCACACTTGTTCATGGAGTGCAGAATTCATCCGGGTTTATCCGAAAGACGGGTTTCCATGAATATGTGTGGTTATCACATTATTTTTTTTGTTTTCTTATTTAATAAAATACTTCTTTGCTCTTTATCTATTGTCTAAATTCATTGTCCTGATTATTAGGAGCTATTGCAGAAAATGCTAATAACGACGATATGCCCCTTTTAAAGATGTTCAAGAACGAGTCTCCTGTAGGGGAGGAGGAGGAGAAGGAGGGGGGGCGGTCTAAATTGAAACACCTTAGGGTAGTTGGAAAGTTTCCAAGTTGCTCTTGTGGCGATGGATGCCCCGGGCCCTGAGGAAACACCTAATTATAAGACTTTGAGCATGGTTCGCCAAGGGTACACACGATCTACCGAGAGCACACAAACTCTTCCGAAAACTTTCTGAGTTCTTAAAAAGAAAATATTTTTAGTAATGTGAATAATGATATGCTGTTTTTATTTAAATTTAAATAATCGAAAAAAAAAAAATTAAAAAGTGTGCCAAGTGGAAAATTATATCTTCCTCAATATTTATGTTAATAAAACCAATATATCGGTTTTTTTTTAAGTATAGTTTTTATTTATTTAAAAATTACAAATGACTTTCCGCACAGTTTTAAATATAATTTTCATTGATGAACGCTGGGATTAAATTGAATTCTTGTTTGGAGAAACTTCGCAGTGATGTCACCCCTAACGTGATGTTGTAACATAGCATTTTCTTGCTCCAGAGGCATTTAAGTATACTTGTCTGTTAGTCTGTACAAGTGAATTGGGATGTCCAGTAAGGAAGTCCTTAAATTTATTGTAATATATCTTAATTACGTCAGCTACGTGTGGGATTTGTAGGTCTAACTGCAGTGATCTATTTTTTTGCGTAGTTGGGACATTGATTGGTACTCCGTAGCACAGGCGGATCTACGGGGGAGGGAGGGGCTTTCGGGCTGAAGCCCCCCCCCAAAAAAAATGGTAAAATATAACCATGTTTTAAAGAAAAAAATATTAAAAACTATCTCTTAAAGTATTCTTGTTCCTGTAATTACATTTAATAGGACTTCAGGAACCACTTAAACACCATTTCATATAGGTAGTTAATTTTTTTCTTTTATTTCAAATTAATTGTCGTTATAAGTATATGACGAAAAAAAAATCTTTCGGGCTGAAGCACCCCTAAAATTAAATCCTGGATCCACTAGTGCTCCGTAAAAATTTAGATTGGAAGATTTGAATAATCTGTAAGTGTGTTTTCTGGATGAGCCCCACACCTGAATGAAATACGCCCATAAGGGTCTAAATGGCATGTTTTATGTAATTATTTTGTTAGAAAGTGACAGTTTGATTTTATGGTGTATTTGTCTTAATAATGACGGTCGATGATTCAACCTTTTTTTTTAATGTAGTCACTTGATCCTCCCCCTCCCTCCCCACCCCACCATAAAAATGTTGGTGGGACGAGAATATCATTTCGTCCCCCCTCCCCTTCCAATAATATGATGTAAAAAATATAAAATCAATAATAAGTAATCTACATGAATAAATAAAATAGGTGAACTAAAATAGTTTAAGAAAAGTCGACCAGCTGGCTAGGCTAGAGCATATTATGTAGCTATTTTATTGATGCCTATACGTTACATTTATTTAAATATATCAAAATATCCTAGGATTTTATGACTTAATCATCCCTTAATTTTTAAGTGAAATTCTTATCTCATATTCAGGGACAAACTAGTCGGAGTATATAAAATGTATTTGTATTTATTTGGATTTGTACACGTTAAGAAATCAAAGATATTTTTCAATTGTTTACATTATTCAATTTTAATGATATAGAGATGGTTGACCGTGATATAATATGAGAAGGAATTGATCGGGGGGGGGGGGGGAGAGGAGGTGCGGTGAAATAAATAATAAATTACAGAAATAGTATTATTTAATTAGTATGTCGACGTTTCAACCCACCTTACAGGTCTTCATCAGGGCTAAAAAAGATACAAAATATAAAAGGTACATTGTGAAAATGAAATAAATGAATAATAAGAAGATATTAAATAAGAAAAAGTTGTCTGATTAAGAAATAAAAAGATGATATCAGAGATATAGTGGGTGACAATGTAGTTAGAATATGAAGTATTATATATATATATATATATATATATATATATAGGAGATACAAACATAAATAGAAATCAAGTGTGAATAAAAATAGAAAACAAAGGAGAATATAGTATGCAAGTTAAAAGTAAACAGATTGTGAGAAATTTAAGAAAATGAATATTAAAGAATAAATAGATTGAAAATTGAATAAGTATTGATCTAGTAAAGCTTAAATGAGAATAAGATAACATAATAATAAGATATCAGTGGATAACAAGCTAGTGGAGGTTACATTTGATAACTGCAGGTTATCCTATGGTTATCAAATGTAATCTTTATTAGTTTGTTATACATTCATTTCTTATATTTTATCACAATCTGTTCACTTTTAACTTACATACTATATTCTCCTTTGTTTTCTATTTTTGTTTGTATCTTATATATATATATATATATATATATATATATATATATATATATATATATATAATACTTGATATTTTAACTACACTGTCGTCACCCACTATATCTCTGATATCATCATATTATTTCTTTATCAGACAACTTTTTCTTATTTCATATCTACTTATATTCATTTATTCTATTTTCACCATGTACCTTTTATATTTTGTATCTTTTGTAGCACTGATGAAGACCTGCAAGGTGGGTCGAAACGTCGGCATAATTATTAAATAATACTATTTCTATAAGTTGGTATTTATTTGACTGTACCCCCCTCCTCCGATCAACTCATTATTCATTTTTAGCTTTAAAAGTTCTAGAAATGTACCAATATTATGAAGGCTGTCTATCCTTTTCCTCCTGTGTTTAATCTTAACAAATAAGTTATATATTCAATTGATTTTTTTCCGAAGATATATATAGTCCGTGGTACAGAACCCTTGTTATCGAATTGTTAACATCCGCCTGAAACTTCGTAAATAGTTTCATCTCATCGTAACCTACAAAAATATTGAGCAGTTTCAATATTTTTGAAGGCCAACTTTTTTATCAATTTTGTGCTCATATCATCTTACGATTCAGGTTGAAAAAAAAATGGATATTTATGAGTTTTTATTACCTAATTAAATAGTGAAAGTTTGTCCCCCTCCAGATTGAAAACAACCCAATTCCGAGAATTTTCGTAAATAAAATATTTGTTGGTTACGATGAGATGAAGTTATTTACAGAGTTTCGGGCGGATGTTAATAATTTGATAATAAGGGGTCTGTACCACGGACTATAATATATAATAATTAAAACAAAATAAATAGAATTCCTAGTAGTATAGTTGTATAATAATATAAGTTTAAACAAATTAATTATAATTATTCAATATTATATTTCCTCACAATTACTTTGATTTATTACACATAACAACTCAAGCTTTTTTTTGTTATGTCAATCGCTCCCCTCCCCAATCAAAATCGAATCTGCGCTTATGTTTTTCCAGGTCAGTCGTATGTCCATATAATTAAGAATGATCACGATAAAATATGTCTTCCAATGACCTCATTTCTTTCCTTTAGATAAACGAAGAATTGCCCTCAATATCAGTGCTGACTATTTGACTCTCTGAAAGTATAAACAGAAAGGGACAGGCTTTTCAGCGACATGGCCTCCAGTTCATCCATATTCAACGCCTGCTTTATCTACGGCATTATTTGACGCCATCGGATATTCCTCGGTCCGTGTGTGCTGTCTTATTCATGCCCCTCTTTCTCTCCCTCCCCTCCTCCTTCTAAATCTTCCGGATCAAGTCCTCTTGACTTTAAGCTCCTCG